ATGAGACAATATCAAAAGTCCTACTAAAGTTGAGATAAACAGCACCCACTCCTCAACTACCAAGTCAACCCCTGGTCATAGAAGGGTATCAGGTTAGTCCAATATGATTTTCTCATCATGTAAACCTTGGGCTAATTACTGGTAACTATAAAGCATTAGCAATCTAATTATCTCAGCTTTMGGATGTGGCCTGAAAAAGAAAATTAAAAGTATTTGATTTTCAGATTTCCTGTTTGAGCTGATTAGAGTTTTATTCACAGAGGGAACTCGTTCTTCTGTCGGATTCCARTTTTATCTAGCATCAAGTTTGATGTGATTTTGGAACAAGAGCATGCAAAGGTTCATTGAACAGAGGAACTAGAGGCCAGCATTGAAAAGCTAATTTGATCTCTGTGCCCTAAATGCATTCATTTGATGGGCCTGTGCAGGGACTGRCACGGGCTCTCCTGGAGGAATCGTGCCTCGTTAGCACTAGCAATGGATGTGTAAAGGATCTCTGAGTGAGTTGCCTTTATTTTGTTATTTCCCACAGYGGATTGCCTGCAGTGAGTCACCCAACTTGCTATTAGCACTTCCTATGCAGATAGGCCAAGATTCAAAAACAAACAAAAAAAMCCCAACAAAACACTTGCACAATTAAGTAAATGGTTTCTAGCTCCAGCTTGTGTTTTGCCCAATTTGCTGTGGCATCCTGTAAGAGTCTGTATTTTATTACTAAGCTTTTTGTGAATGACAAGTGCAAGCAGCACATGAACATAGGCCARGAAACCTGCCTGCATGTGAAAATTCCTATGGATCAGAAAGTGCCTCTTGTAAGGAAAATACCTATTGGGAAGGAGGGAACGGCTCRTTACTAATCACACTTGGGCAAAGCAGTGAGTGAACTGACTGTGCTGCTTTTTTCTGGAGACCTTGTCTCAACAGCCACTGCAGTGACTGATGCAGAGAAATGTCACTGGAAGAGATTCTAACCACTAAATGATTGTGGTAAAAAAGATATTTCAATAGCCATCTCCAMATAGATTAATCGGAATTCTCTTCTGAGGTACATGAGAAATAACTCTTACTATAAACTGCAGCACCCTTGAGCTGCACTGCACAACAGGCATCGCTGTTCAGGCTCACGGACACCTTAGATCAGTTTTCTGCACAGGCTCTCAAAGGAGCCATCAGCTAAAGCCCAAGGAGTGAAAGGGAGGGAAGGGCCCGGGATTCTTTTTCCTGCTAAAGTAAGTGCCAACATAACTCAAAGAGAAAGCCAAGTGATTCTCGCCCTGAAGAAAGGGCGAGATGTTTCAAAGGACARCGTGTAAATGCAGCGGGAGGTTGTGCTCACGTTAAGAGCACAATTTGGTTATTTGTTTGGGGGGAGATACCTAGAAGTGCTTCGGCAGGCTGTGGAGCAGGGAGCACCGCTGCGGCTGCGAAGCTTCCTCCAGGCCGTCACTAGAGGTCAGTCTGCACCGCTGGGTCCCTCCTTCCAAGGCGGCTTGGACCTCTCTCCAGCACCCCTAGAGGGTCCCGGCAGAACAAGGCAGGTCACGAAAACCCCTTAGGAACTCTGAAATACCGTCTTCAGTCCTTTGGCGGTGTTTATTTGGGGCTGTGAAAAAGCRATGGCTATAAGTGAGCACTTGGAGGGGACAGGAGTGTTTGGGGTTTAATAAATTAATTGCGTAAGACTCCCACCCTCTCATCTCAGTACCCGCTAGGATTGGTTGGTATTTCTGTGTAGCCTCAAAGGCGGAGAGCGGGGAAGATCCTGTGCCCTGTCCCCATGCCAGGTGGGTGCTGCCTGCAGCGAGACGCCCCATGTGGGCAGCGCGCGCTGCTCCCTGCGCCTGCATGGGCTCCGGGGAGCGAGGGCCATGATGAGGGGCCGCCGTGCGTGACGAGGGGCCGCCACGCGCCAGAGCCCGGCCTACGCAGAGCCGGAGCGGGCCCGGGCGCACGGCGCGGCCTCCAGCACGGAGCGGCAAGGGAGCAGCCATGCCTGGCTTGGGCCTCCCTCGGAGCGCAGGTCCGGGACCCAGAGCTGATGGGTCAGTGGTGGTGTGGTTTGGGCCTCCCTCAGAGCACAGCTCTGTGGCCCCAAGCTGGTGGGTCAGTGCTTAACACCAAGTAGCCTTCTAAGTCTAGATGCCTCTACACAGACCAGACGTTACCCTGCCCTTTACCCAGATATCCCTACATAAAGTTGTTGTATTTTAGTGATCGGGTGCCTGGGGCTTCCTTTGGCCGTGGCTGCTGGTGTTCTGAGCTAACCATGCGTATTATCTGCGTGCTCTGCAGTGCTGTGTTGCTCACTTAAAACTATATGGGGATTGATAGCCACAAAAGGACATAGGCTTTTCACTGCTGAGCACTGCACAGAATATTCTTTTGTCAACTTGCTCTCCAATGAGATTCRCATCAGGATTTAGATGCCCAGAAAGGTTTTATGAAATGCACAGGACCATTTAAGCATCTAAGGATAAGAATCAGGTGTCCAGCAAGGCGAGCAGAAACTTCAGTGGTCAAGAGCAAACACTAAGAAGCGAATCTGGTCCCAGGATCCATCTGTGCTCCTTAGTTTAGGTCTATGTGCGTTCTGGTGTCTCTAGCTCTCACACAGTGTGGCTGTTATTACCTTGCTGGCACAAGCACCAGGGTTTTATCCCAGGACATGCAAGATCCAGATGCATCCCTTGCAAATCCTTSCACACCTGAGGCTGCTGGATTTGCAGGGCTGGAAAGCAATCAGGCTGCGAAAGCCACCTCACCTTGTGTCACACACTGAGATATTAACTGACCTGGGGCCTSGGAGCAGGATGTGTTTTATGGTCATGTTGTGCAGTCAGGTGGTTAATCATTGTCCCTGGAAACAGGAATTTTATATTTCTCTATTTTATGGCAATTTATTTGTACAAGGAAAAAACATGCTAGTACTTTCTCTCTAGGGCTCACACCTGAACCACTGCAAAGTCACGTTTGATGGTTTTCTTTCCCTTCCTGATCCAGCAAGGGCGAGCAATTCAGGCAGCATGAAACCAATTTAAGCCAGAGGATTTGAGCCAGGCTCTAGTCTGAACCCAGGGGCTCAGTAACTCCCCAGGGGTGTGGGAAGGGGAAGTTTTAGTCTTCCGGGCAATGAGCAAGAGCTCAGACCAGCGACGCGAGTACAGGCGCTGCAGGTGGGCAGCAGAAGGGCAGCCGGACACGGCTGTGAGGGCATGGGAGGATTAACTAAGAGCCCTCCTGGCAGCAGGGCTTGGGAGAGAGGGGCTCGGGGTGCTCGGCTGCCTCCCTGGCGTGGGGTGAGCCCTGCGGCCAGCCCTGCCAGAGGCACCGCGGGGACCCGCGCGCGAGGCGGATGCTGCAGATGGAGACAGAGTTAAGCATGCCCGGGAGTGCATGTCCTTCTGCTTGCACAAAAAAAATTACTGAAATTAAAAAAAAACAAAACCAAATATCTTTTAATTACGTACAGATCTCATTCAGCAGCTGCTCGGGATTTAGGAACCTAGAAGGGCTGTTGTACAGTGCTTAGGTCCCCAGGCTCCCTGCGGATGTATCTTCGCACAACGCTTGTCCGAGTCTTTGCATCTGTGCAAATGTGTCCAGCTGCTGCCCGCTCCCTCCCGCGCTGCTCCTCGACACCCCGCAGAGCCGCGGCATCCTCCCAGGTAGCAAGTGCCCAAGGCTGTAGTGGAAGTCTCTGCTGCCTCGAAAAAGAAGCAGCAGCTTCTCGCTGCGAGCAGCAGAGCCGGCTGCTTCCAACCCAGGTCTGAATCCGGCAGCGGGAATTCCCGGTGTGCGGCAAACCTAAAGGGCTCTGCAAAGCACAGCTGCCACTGAGGGCAAAGCAACTTTGCCTGCGCAGAAACAGCAACTTTGCTCTGTATCTGTATTTAGAGGTGACATAGTCCTCTGCAGAAACGTTTTTTGGGGGTTTGGCTGTTTTTTTGAACACTTGGAGAAATGTTGGAATTTGGCTACACGAGCAGGGAGAGGAGGAAACAGAGAGGATATGGTGTTCATATATTCATCCCATACACAGTTTTGAGACATCAGGAAACTTGCATTTTGGCAGGAAAACCAGAACTATTCAATATCAGCATCTTTTAAAAGAAGTACTTTGACCTTTTCATTTAAAATTAATGTTAATAATTTAACAGTTAATATTAGCATCATATTTTTAAAAAATATTTTTAGAAGAAACATAGCCTCACCATAAGAAGTTTCACAGCTTGATATGACACAAGTTTTTTTTTTTTTTTTTTTGTGCCCTCTCGAGACCAGCCCAAGTTATTTCCCCCTTTCTTCCTTCAGGGCAGTCGTGGGGATGGTCCCCTGCCCCGTCCCTCCCGTGAGCTGCCGGCTCCGGGCTGCTCGCTCCCGACGGCTGCAACCCGGCACTCACGGGAACAGCGGCACGTATCCGTGCAGACCCGTTACCGGCATTTCTGCAGGACACAACCCCCCGGTTTCAGCCGAGCCCTGGAGCAGATCATTCGAGGTGGCCSCTTTCCCCACACCTGCAATCCCCCCTTTATTTACTGCTCCCATCCGCTGCGGCGCAGGGGAAGCGCTGCCGCACGGTGCCCGGGACGGATGCCGGCTTTGCCGCGCACCGTGGRCGTGCGGGGTCCCCTCGGCAGCCGGGAGGAGGCTGGGGACCACAGAGCCGGCTCTCCTGCCTTCCCTGGAGCAGCGCCTCTCCACGCAGCCGGAGCCCCGTCCTCGGGTTTCTCCTTGCACTGCACGTCCTGCATCCTGCCTGGAGCCACCAGCTCAGGCTCCATGGCCCTCCCCACTCCTCCTCGGGACAGGTACAGGCGCTACACCCCTACCCCCTGGGCACCACAACCATCAGCCCTCATCCTCCGGACATTTTCAAGGGGGCAGTTTCCATCAGCAACCCCCTGAAGAGCATCTTGCACCCAGGAGCCCTCCTTTACCCGCGTCCCTCTCTCCACCGTCCCCCCAGGGCGCTCAGTGTCCCAAGAGCCACTTCCTCCGCAGTCCCCCGGTGCGGCCGCCGGCACCCGCCCTCAGCAGCGCTGCTCGGAAGAGCCGGCGGGCAGCACGTCGTAGCGGCCRCTGTAGACCACCACGCCGGGCGGGTAGTAGGCCAGCTCGGGCTGGACGGCCGCCGCGGGCGAGGAGGCGGCGACGGGGTGCATGGGCACCAGGGCGTGCAGGGCCTGCTCCTCCTGCTCGGGCTTGGTGGTGTCGGTGAAGGGGCGCATGGTGGTGAGGGAGGGTGAGGTGATCCTCCAGAGGAGGCTCTTGAGCGCCTTGCGAAACTCGCGGCGCATGAGGCAGTAGAGGATGGGGTTGAGGCAGCTGTTGGAGTGCGCCAAGCACACGCTGATGGGGAAGAGGTACACTTGGGAGAGGAAGTACTCGGTGCTGAAGTGCACCACGTTGAGTTTGATGAGGACCCCCCACAGCGTGAGCGCTTGGTTGGGCAGCCAGCACAAGAAGAAAGACAAGACCACGATGGACACGGACTTGGTCACCTTGGAGCGGCGTTTGGTGCTGGGGCCGCTGCAGCTGCTGCCGACGTGCTTGTCGCTGATGAAGCGCACCAGGAGCAAGTAGCACAGGCTGATGACGGCCAGCGGCACCACGAAGCCCAGCAGCACCTTCTGGATGTGGTAGAGCCCCAGCCAGAACTGGGCATTGCTGCCACGGCCCTCGGGGAACTTCAAGAGGCAGAGTACGTCATCGAAGACAGTGGCGGTGGTGGAAAAAATGGCATGGGGCAGGGAAGCCAGGATGGCTGACACCCAGATGAGCACGCAGAGCCACTTGGCAGAGCAGCAGCCGCCCAGCGGGTCCCCACGCCGCTGGTTCTTCAAGGCTGAAGCCACCGAGCGGTAGCGAGCCACGCTCATGGCAGTGAGGAAGAAGACGCTGGCGTACATGTTCATGGCAGTCACGTAGGAGACGATCTTGCACATGGCCTTGCCGAAGAGCCAGTTGAAGTCCAGGGCATTCTCCACTGCCCAGAAGGGCAAGGTCAGCACAAACTGGAAGTCGGTCACGGCCAGGCTGGTGACRAAGAGGTTGATGGAGGACTTCCTCCAGCCTTGCTTGCTTTTCATCAAGTAGAGCACCAGCAGGTTGCCCACCAGCCCCAGGGCGCACACCACGGAGTACACCAGGGAGATGATGATGCGCACCACATCCGAGCTGTCGCCCCCCATGCCGTCGGCTCGCTCCAGGTTGATGTTGCGCAGGAGCTGCAGGAAGGACACGTTGCTGCTGCGGTTGCCCGCGGCCGGGGCACCCTCCAGGAACCCCAGCGACATGTCCCAGAGGTCGCCGTCCGCCGCCCCCTTGGCGCCGGGCGAGCAGGGCGCGGGCTCGCAGGGCTCCCCCAT